TTTTTGCAGATTTGTAAAGATTGCTCCACCCGCCTTCCTTTCCTTTCTCGATTCCACGTTGAAGAGGCAACAGCAGCAGGCGAAGAGAAGATTTGCTTTTCTTCCATGGCTGACCATAAAGAAGGTCCATTTTTGCTGATAGATGGTTTTAGACAACGAATGTGTAAATGCAGCGAGTGTTTGGTAAGTTGTCTGTCTCCAGTTTTATTCAAGCTGCTACCGGTGCTATTTTCTAGGCTCTTTATGAAAGAATGGGCTGTGAATTTTTTGTTGATATCGACGACGACATTGAGTTGTTCACCAAAGAGAACATTGAGAAGACCGAGGGTGAGAAGGAGCCAGATGACGAGACCATTGTGAATGAGCTTGTTCAAACTGCTGGAAGAGATGCAGCTATCCATGTGCTAAAAGGTAACAATATGGTTTTCCTTGAATGGAGTACGTCTGAGGTCTGTAATTCAGGTTTCAATGACCTAAAACGTAACTTGCACCAATTCATGAAGGAAAAGCAAGAGGAAGGAGTAGGAGTGATTACAGCTGAGCACGTCACCTCATTTTTCGACAAGATCAAGCGGAGCAGGGTGGAAGGCCCATCGGGTGATGATTTTTAAGAGGTTGGTCCCTTGATGATCAAATTGTGTTATGCTTTCCTCGGCCTCGTCCAAAATCATTTTTGGGGTTTTTTTAGGTTATAATTTTTGCTGCCTGTGCTCACAAAATTTCTGAAATCTCTTACATTCTCTGTTCACTAGACTTATTCGTCTTAGGTAAATTGCTTACAGGTGTATAATGCAGGAGGTATACATCTTTATTATCCAAAATATATACTGTTTACGCCCACAATCGCTACTTGCTCAGATGACCTAAATCTATGGAATTATTCATTGCACGTCGAAATTGTTGCCTTCTGATTGTGGCTAGGCGTTTGTTGTGATCAACATCGTCGAGTTCACCATCAGACAATGGTGTTTGAGGCAGACAACGACGACGGTGATATACCTAAAACTAACCGTAGAGTGATTGGAAATATTTGCTTCGAAATCTATACGTTCAGAGAATTTCTTGGCATTTTTTT